GACCGGGAGAACATATTTGCAGTCTACCACATGTGATGAAGGATTAATATTTAAAATATATAAGGAACCCAACTCTATAGAAAGAAAAATTAATTCCAGAAACTGGCAAGGGACTTGAATAGACATTTTCCCAAAGAAGACATAAATAGCTAACATGCACATGGACAAACTCCCTCCATATCACTAGTTATTAGAAAGGTAAAAATTAAAACCACAGTCCAATACCACCCACATCTATTAGAATAGCTACTATAAAAAAAGATGAAAGTGCTTTGGTGAGGATGTACACACTGTTGGTGGGAATGTAAGCTACTATGAAAAGCAGTATCAAGGCTTCTCAAAAAACTAAAAATAGATTAGCATATGATGAAATGATCCTACTTCGGAGTATTTACCCAAAAGATTTGAAATAACTATGTCAAAGTATGGGAGTGTGCACATACATGTTCACTGTAGCACTGCTCATACTAGCCTAGATGTGGAATCAACCTATGGGTCTACTGACAGATTATACATCTATATAAAACATATGTATCTCCTACATCTACACACACACACACACACACACACACACACACACACGGACTACTATCCAGCCTTAGAAAGAAAATGATTCGCTATCGTGACAATATGGGTAAAGCTGAAGAACATTAGGTTAGGTGAAATAACCAAACATACAAACACCACATGATTTCATTTAGATATGGAACCAAATACAAGTGAACTCACAGAAGTAGAGAGCAGAGTGGTGGTTTCTAGAGGATAGGAGGAGTCAAACTTCAGTAAGGAAGGAAGAATATATTTCATTTTTTGAGAGCTATTTCACAGCATGGTGAATATATCTAATAGGTGAGCCGTGTACATTTTGATACTGCCATTAGAGTAAATTTCAAATCTTATCATCACAAAATGGTAAATATTTGAGGTTATGGGTATGTTAATTAGCTTGATTTAATCATGCCATGTTAAAACATCAAAACATTATTTTGTATGCCATAAATACATACAGCTATCATTTATCAACATAAATGAGGAAAAATTACAAAAAAAAAGATTACCCAGGATGCTGTAACATGCTGTAACAGATGAAGACAGTACTGAATCAAGGGTGGAGGCACAGAACTAGGTAGAGAATTGGCTTAGACCCGGGTGATTGCTGGGGAGGAGACGTTGTGCTTTTGAATTCTGGATATACTTTGAAAGTAGAATTGATGGAGTTTGGATGGGAGTGTGAGATAAAGAGTCTATTGATTGTTATTTCCCCCTCTCTGCACAGGGAAAAGAAACCATGGGATCAAGAACATCAGGGACTTATGCCAGGCTCTGGGGCTGGTTAGAGAAAAACACCTCTCCCTTAGCTCAGCACACAGTAGGCAGTCATTAAAAATGTGTTTCACTTTCTTTGTGGCAGAGGTGTCTACACTTCAAGTCCAGCCCATTTTCAGTATGGGATCCAATCACTTCCTTTTGTAAAAATAATTTCTTAGTACAGGTTTATAGTACATAATGATCACATTTATTGTGGGGTGTCAACGCATCTGTGTAACACATCTTGTTTTTTCTACTTTCCTTCTCCACTCTCCTTCCATCTCTTGGTTTCCAATCATTTCTTGAGTTATTAATATGATATTTATTGCTACTGGCCAATCAACAGATATAGGCATTCCATTTCCTATGATTATCTGAGGCCAAATGCTGCCTGTACTATATGTATACTAGTGTATACTGTATGAGTTAATTGTGTGGCTCTGGCAATTATTTGCATCTTCTCCAGCCTCTGTTTCCTCATCTTTAAAGTGTAGGCAATAGGAATGCACTCCCCGTTAGTTTGTTACAAGGACTCAGTGAGATAATTCGTGAAATTGAGAAGTGATCAGTGAACAGGTATGCAGTGTAGACACGAAATAGTCCCATTTTTTCTATTCTGAAAATCAACAAAGGGAGGGATCTAGAATGAAGCCTGGTTTTGAACTACGGGTATGATTTAGATAGAATAAAGAGAGACGGAACCTTAAGTGATGAAGGGGAGAGCCATTATCTAATCAAAGGGTTGCAGGTTGGCCGGGATGCAGCTAGGGAGCCTTGAAGGAGCCAGGCCTGGCTGTGCTGGGAGCTTCCTGATGGGCCGTGTTGGTACAACTGGGCCAGTCTTCGATCCCTAGCTCATGCAGCAGCGAAGCCATTTCCCAATGGAGGATGGCATGCTTTCTGTTGAGGTGGAAGCCCACTGAAAGTCTTTATTGGCTCTGAACACCTTTAGTCTTAGGGGTCCTTCCATCTCCCATCATAAAAATTACTAATGTAGGTTCACATCTTCAATCAACCTAATTTTATACACCCACATGTCAAAAGATTCCACCGTATGTTTAGTTTATAACCATATGTATAAACCAACAGATGCTATACTCCAAAGTGAGGTGTGAGGTGGCTATGAAAACTAAAGAGTGTTTTGGGTGGCTAGTGTTTTTTGACCTTTAAACTCTTTACCATCATTTAGGATTAAAAAAACAAAACAAAACTGGAAGTAAGAGATAAGAAAGGCTGAGATAGGAAGGCCAGGCTGGGCAACTTAGTGAGATCCTGTCTCAAAATAAAATAAAGAGGACTGTGAGGTGCAGTTCCACAGTATAGTAGTACCTAGTGTGTGCAAGGCTCCAGGTTTAATGCCCAAGATGGTAAAAAAAAAAAAAAAAAGGAAATTAATAGTGAGAATTGTTGGCCAGTTGCGCCTATTCTGTATTTAAGGGAGGATATTGAGGAGCTATCTTTTCCATATAAAATCTAGAAAGTGGGGCTTTAAGAAAATGGTGATTTAGTGAGTTTAATATGTTTCTCCATAGTTTGAATGACTCAGTGAACTGGAGTGTACTTCACACCCCAGAAATCTACAGTGTGTCAGAAGAGCTGGCTAGCACTGACAGCGAAGCCAGAGAGAGTACACAGAACTAGGTGATGTTCTGTGGGGGGCTAGGGTGGGGAGGAGATGCAGGTGTCATCAAGAGATGAGAGAGAGCCACTTGCAAGGCAATGCTGCCATAGGCTGCCTTAGATTTTTGTCCAAATGTTTACAAGGAGTAAGTGAATTGCTAGACTCTTAGGAGAATCACAAGAAAGCAATGAGCAAAGGAAAAGTTTCCAGTACTAATGGACCATCTCCAGCGAAACTCTGTGAGCACCCTACAGAGAAATGTGGGCTGGCATCTCCGTTGCCATCTTGCAGTGACATGAATCTGACTGCCTCCCTATTCTTCTTTCTCCTTTCCTGCTCAACCATGCTTATCCAAATGAGAAAGAAAGTTAATTGTAAAAATTAGAAAAGAAAGAAGAAGCTGGTAATGCACCCTCTCCCCACTCCTAGAGTTAAAGGGAACCACAGAAAGACTGTCTGATGAATATGTCTCAAAAGTCACACATGTTCTACCAAGGGATTATGTATCTGGGTTGGATTTAGTGGCAAGGTGATGGGCACTTATGTGAGTTGAATACTTATTTTGACTTTGTAGATTTACTTCATATTTAGGAGTTAATACCTTATTTTAGTCTCAAATCTTAAACATTTATGATAAGGGTTTTAAAAAGCTTGTATGTCCTATAACATCTAAGGGGCAAGATGACTCCAGCTGCCATAGCAAGATCTGTGGGATCAGGTTCTGAGGATGATGTAAGTTCAAGTCTCAGCCTGAATACTTACATCTATGTAAGCAACGATGTAAGATGTAGTAAATATAGTAAGATGTAATAATTACATCTGGGCAGGTCCGTCTCATTTCTAGTTCTTGGGTTTTTCATCTGTGAAGTGAGGTGGCTGGACCAGTTGATCATGCCTGTTCTGGTTAGTTCTGTGATGAATGCCTTTGGCATTTTATTGGTAGTTCTTGGGTCCTCACATGTAGTCAGTTTCACTGAATGTCTGTTTACTTAATGGGTAACCTAGTGAAAGCTGGAGCCGCCGTAACCCCTCCCAACTATGCCCTTGTATCTCTTGGCAACACTACAGTCTAGCGTTGTCTCCAGGTCCTCCCCCAAGAGAAGTAGGCTTGGAAGACCATCCTCCTACCTTGTTGAGGGTGTTGAGAGCTTCCTGGGCTGCTATGAGTGCTGGCTCTGCTTTAGCCAGGTCTTCCTCACAGTCCTTCTGCTTCTGCTTCACCTCCAGCATGATAAGGGCCACCTTCTGCTCCTCTTCATCTGCGACGGCTTTCTCTCTGCTCACCTTCTCAGTCTCCACGCCAACCACCTGAATCAGTTTGTCTGCGGCTTCATTCTTCTGCTTCAGCTCTACTTCCTGTGTGGCTAGCTTGGCTTTCAGATCATCCACCTGCACCAGAGAGAAGTACAGGGCATTAGTGGAGTAGTGACCAAAGGGAATGGACGCACCACCCTGATGACCCAGCTCTGGAAACCAACTCCTGATGCAAATGTGCAAAGCTACAGTCTCAGATAGGATGAAGCTCCCTGACCTGGGAAAGGAAAAGACTGCTGGATGCTCTCTCCATTCCGCAGACGTATGGCAGAATATTACAGTCCCATGTGCCCTAAAGCTTCTCTTTGATGCCCAAATGATTTAGTCTGCTTCTTATTGACACTGGTACTGTGCCATAAAAGATGTCAAGTGTCTAACATAATACTTTGCATATATTAGGCCTTCAATGAAGATAAGTTGTGTTTTAGTTTAAATTTGCCAATGTGGAATGTACCAAGGATTTATAAAAGGGAATGTTTTCTGTGTGGCCTGCAAGACCAAATATACAAATAGACAATGGCCACACCATAGACCCATTAAGAATTATGATCCACTCTCTGCAACCACCTGCCCAGGAAACCAACTCCTAACCTTTAACAACTACCATCAGAGACCTGGCCCGAGGAGTCAGATTTCTCTCTCTAGTGACAATCCAGGAATACAAACAAGAAACCTTATAGCAATCGGATTAAAACTTTTAAGACTTGATTAATAATGGGCAATGTCCTTAATTTTTTTGTCTCTTCTTCCAACTTAGGACCAAAGAAAGCCAAAAATGTTCTCCTGACCAATCACAAAGGATACCCATGTTCAGTCAGCCCACCTCCAGCATCCCTGGCTAACATCCTCCAGCCAGGCAGGGCTGAGCCTTCTTTTTCACTGCCACCCTTTTCCACTTCTTTGCCTGATTTGAGTCTCTGCAAAGCACAGATGATAGTGGCTGACTCCTTTGCTGTGGTAAGTTCTGACTTAATAACCATTGATGATTCTCATTTGGTTGGGCTTCATTTATTCCTACAATCCTTACTAGAAAGAGACAACCAGGTTAAAATGGTCCAGCAAGAATCCCAATGGTCCAGGACTGCCAGATTTCCCATCTGGCTCTGAAGACAAATATTGTTTGGAGACAGAATGAAATGATGGAACACGGCCAGGGATTTAGCTCAGTGGTTCTGCCGCCTGCCTCGCAAGCTCAAGGCCTTGAGTTTGATCCCCAATTCCAAAAAAAAAAAAAAAAAAAGGAACAATGGAACTATCAGTGCTAGGAAACTATTTGTGTCATGAGCTGGGAACAGAGGAATGGTTTGCTATTTACATTCTGATGGGCCGAGTGTGGTGGTTTGCAGAATGTGATTGTTGGACCAACCGCATCAGCATTACCTAGTAACACGTTATATATGTGAAATCCCAGGTCCCACTCCAGACCTACTGAGTTAGAAACTCTGGAGGCAAGGCCTGACAATCTGTGTTTTAACAGACCCTCTGGTTGATTCGGAAGCCTGTCTAGGTTTGATAATCACTGGTCCAGTGTAATAGCCTTTTCATAAGCAAAGGGAAGACACAGACTTATTTATTTCTGGAAAGTAAAAAAACATTTGTCTTTGTAGTATGGCTCATAAACTTTACGTTCCAGAATGACCGCTCACTTCTCATTTCGCTGCAGTCTATTGCACACAACAACCAAAGATTTCTTCAAAGCTCCTGGAACACGTCAAACACATTCAAATGCTTCATGATGCAAAATGCATAAAGGGAAAAATAAAACTGAGGCTTAGATGCTGCTGATAATTCCTCTTTCATGGCACATCAAAAGAAAAGAAAAGGAAGGGGGGGGAAAGAATGCTCTTTAATTTTGTGTATTTGTGGAAACTGGAGACTTTGTGTCAACCTCAAATAGAGGCCTGCTCCCTAGAACTCATCTTATATTCACATGCTGGAAGGTTAATCCCTTTCCATCTCCCGTTGTTCAGCTGCAGAGAGTTATTTCTACAAGGACAAAGATGCAATTGTAAATCAAAATGATTGAGCTGCATAATCACTCCAGTCAGCAAACACACCAGTAACTTTTTGTTCCTTTTTAAATCTTGGGAGATTTGAGAAAATAGAAGTGGGGTTTTTCTGTTATTTTTTGGTTGTTGTTTTGTTTTGTTGATTGCAGATATGACTTGTGACCTCAGGCTAAAGGTAAATAATGCCCTGCCCTGTGAATAAGAGCTTAATAGCTCTTGAGCTGTGACATAGAGTGATATGAGGGTCCTGCCAATTAGAACTAGGCTACTCCCCACCAAAATGCAAAGAAAGCAGCACTGGGTTCACTTTGATTCTTCAATAGAACAGAAAATTGGAGCAGGTTATTTGGAATTTCTCTTTTTTTCTTTTCCCTTATTCAAAGCCGCATTAGGGCCTCACTTTGGATTGTTCCTTGTTTAGACACCTGACTGGGAAGACTAAGAGAAAGGGTGCCACAAACACAGCACACATCCCCAACTACATCAACAATGGCGCTTCACACTCTGACCACATACAGAAAATGGGGAAATGACAATTGAGAAGGGTGACAACACTGGGGTGCCGGAGAGCCCTCCCTTCTTAAAGGATCAAATACATAAGAGAAGAGTGGGGAGAGGGATGAAGGGAGCGGGGGAGAAAGAGGGAGAGAGAGATTGGGCTTCTGATGGCCTGTTCCTGGGAGCTCCAGAAACTTCATGATGCTGGAAGGATGGAAGAGATACTGAGAATGAATCAGAGGAAATAAAAGGGTGCTATATTTTACTTATTTATTTCACTATGTTGCTCAGACTAGTCTCAAACTCGTGACCCTCCTGCCTCAGCCCCCCAAATAGTTGGGATTATGGTAGTGCCCTACTGCATCCAGGGAGGTTTTTGTTTGAGGAGGCATGTTAAATTTGTTTTTCGTATTGCTTATGCTGGGCAACACTTTTTCTGTTAGTAGCTCTAGGTGTTTGGAGAAGAATATAATTACAGAACTTGTTTCTGGAGAAGGGCAGGAAGCCCAGCACAATCAGCAGCAATAAATACTCCACTGAGGGTTGGAGATCTAAGAGATATCTTTCTCACTCTGAATCGATATAGTCACCTAATACTTTCTTATATGAATTTGTATTTTAAGAAATCTTTTCTCTTAGATACAGATGTTTTCTTTGTACATCTGCTATGTTTGCATGTCTAATAAAAATTTCATTCTTATTCTGGTAATAGAGTAAGATTTTTTCTTTGATAAATGTCCCTTTCCTAAGTCTGATAGTTTCAATGGAGCTGATTCCAGCTGTTATTTGATCCTGGCTTGGCCAATGAGGGAATCAAAGTCACAGAGGTTGATCAGCTGTGGATAATGGTTTGAAGAGAGCTATCAGGGCCAATGAACATTGATCTGGAACTTGGCTGAAAACACTGGCAAATAGGCACTGCTTGCCATACTGGAAGTACCAAGCAGGCCAGATACATGCCTGACATTGTCTTGTGTCATGGGAGCCACCTGTCTGAACATGAGTCCAGTGGAGAAAAGAGCAGGGCTGGGGAATTGAGGAAACTGAGATGTGCAAGATGTCATTGAGTATCTGGCTCTAGCTCCATCCAAATTTAGCTGTATCTGGCTTTTCAGTTGTACAGACCAGTGACTCTCTTTTTATTGTGTTTTCTTACTTTGTTTAAACCAATATAAGTTACATTGTACCTCATAAACATGTACAAATATGTATCCATAAAAAATTAACTTCTAAAACGATAGACTTCTGGATTTAGGTCTTTGGTGAACCTTTCTCCAATCAAACAGCTCCTCTGCCTCGTGCATACATCTGACTTAGATGCAGGAGTGAGGGTGGCAGGGACCTCTGCACAGTGCCAGGGAGGGATGAAACCTGAGCCACGTTTGGGGCCTTGACTGTGCCAAGAGAAAGAGCACAGTCCATACCTACCATGAGGATGGCATCTGAAGGTGATGCAAAGACAGGACCCAGTAGAAGCAGCCTCCTTTCATTAAAACCAATGAATGCCAAAAGAGTCCAGCACACTGTTAATCAGCTGCCTCCTGAAATCCCACATTATCACAGAGAAGGAGAAAAAAACCCTTTCGAGAAAACATTCCTGAGGCAAAAGTTAAACTCTGGACTGACTACCTTCTAAAGACTAAATTTTTAACTTGCTCTATAGCTGTAAGAGAATATGTGAGGCAGGGTAACTTATAAAGTGAAGAGGTGTATTTGGCTCATGATCTGGTGGCTGGTAGCCTGGCACCAGTGTCCTGGCTGCATCACCACATGGCCAAAAAGTGGACAGGGAACTGGCTGTGCGTAGAAGGGACCAAATGCATGCAGTGGCCTCTCTTTACAATAACCCACTCTTGCAAGAACTAATCTTGGGAGAAAATTAATCTCTTCCAAGTTAGGTGCTCTCACAACCTAATTAACTCACGCATCAATCAACTTTCTCATTACTAAGGCATAATACCTAACACACAGAACTTAAAGGAGGAATTTGGCTTATGGTTTCAGTGGATTCAGTCCGTGGTTTGTGGTCTCCAAGGTAGGAATGTCATCACAGAAGGGCATGGCAGAGCAAAGCTGCTTAGGGAAGGTGGCCAGGAAGCACAGCAGAGGAATGGAAGAAACAGAGGACTAGACAGACCCCAAGGTTATACTAGCACAACACACTCAGCCATGCCCAGACATGTGCTCCACTAATCCCTTAAGAGGATTAGAAAAACCAATGAAATTGCCATTCCATTCTAACCATAGCACCTTGTATTAGGCCCAACTTTAAAGTTTCTATCAACACGACATTACCAGAATTGGGACAAAGCTTCCAGCACACAAGCCCTCAGAGTACAGACCCAAACATATCCAAAGTACAGTTTCTGAAATGACTAAATCATGCCAACATGCAAGATTAAGAGCATTCTACCCTTAAATAAATAAGATGAATGCAGAACTAAGTTGAATTCCATTATAGAAAAATAGAATTAATTTCTGAGCAACTATAAGTATAAAATTACAAGTCTAAAGTGAGAATTTTTTTTTTTTTTGGTACCTGGGATTGAACTCGGGTCCTTGTGCTTGCAAGGCAGGCCACTGAATCGCTGAGCTAAATCCCCGGCCTGAGAAAATTTTGATTATTATACAATTGCTAATTTTTGTCACCATTACCATAATGATTCTTACTTCTAATACAAATAGTATTGCTAAATAAATTTGTTTTCTGAGCTGGAAATGAAAGATTCATTTAGCCTGATCCCATTAGATTATAAGCATTGAAAACTGTCGGAGTCAAGTAACAAAATTCTGATAACAATACCATTCAAATTATTACCCTTCTACCACACTTACAATGGTATACTTGTATTTCAGCCTTTTCTACCAAAGAAACAATTGCAGATGAAGAGTTTATACCAGAGTCAGGGCCCCCAAGCACCATTTGTTACCAGGAAAATCATCATTACCATCGATAGTTCAATCAGTATGAATAAGATTCATACCATATATACATACAGCATTAACAAAAGCCATTCTCCACTCCCTACTCTGTGCTTCTGTGTGATTTTAAAGCAGTTCGGTGTGTTAATTTACTTATTCACCTGTAAGCAGCTCAAATATCCACGTAGTCTTCTATTTATAAAATTTGTAAAATGCCTATTATGTGTTGGCCTTTGAGATAAAAGATAAATGAATCTTAGTCCTTTCCCTTGAAGGACTAACAACAGCATAGCATGATATATGTAGGAGAAGAGACATAATTCAAGATAGAAACCAGAACAGGGAATACTCTTAATGCTTTAGATCTGAAATGTCCCCCCAAAGCTCATGTATTATAGGCTTGGTCCAAAATATAGCAGTATTCAGAGGTGGCTCTGTCTCAACAATAGATTGTCAATTCATGGATAGATTCATTATTCAGTGGGCTATTGAGAGGTGGTGGAAACATTAGGAGATACAGCCT